CTATTCTCCGCCACAAGGGTCTCCTCTGTCTCTTTTCATATGGCCCTCTCCCTCTTTTTTTTTTTCTCCTTTTTTTCTCTCTTTCTGTTTTTTTTTTTTTTTTTTTTTTTTTTTTTTTTTGGCAGTGTGGGACTGAGATTTCCATTTCCTTACTGGGCTGTCAGCTAGGATCCACTCTCTGCTACAAGGGTCCCCTGAGTCCCTTCTCATATGGCCCCCTCCATCTTTCATCCAGCAGTATTACACTGAATTCTTCTGCTCTCTTTCTGACTGTCCCTTTGCCATCCTCCCTGTCACAAGCCAGAAAACGTTGTTTGCTTTTAAGAGCTCATGCGATTATATTGTGCCTACCCAGATAAACCAGTATAATCTTCCCATCTTAAAGTCAACTGATGAGTAGCCTTCATTATATCTGCAAGATCCCTTTTGTCATGTAACAAAACACATTCATGTATGCGATATCCTGTAGTCACAGTCTTTGGGGACTAGAGCAGAACATTTTTAAAAGAGGCCTTCTTAGAAACCCTATCTACTGCACCTCCTAAAAAACAGACAAACACACACACACAAACAATACCACAACAACAACAAAACTTTGCCAGATAGAGGCTAGTCAGTCTTCCATAGAGGGTATCTATAGCTAACAGTCCATTAGCAAAATGCAGTCATTTTGTACAATGGCCCAATGAGCTCACCTTAGGTCTATGTTGCAGAGTAGTATCTGGAATTGAGACATTCTATCATATCTTATTAATATCAAATTACCTAGCTAACAATAGAGGGACTACAACTTAAATATCTATGAACGTTTCCATGCACAGATGGTAGCAGTTAACTTTGTGGTGCCTCAGCTGTGTTACTGGTACTTGTAACACCGTGTGCCTTTGAAAATGTCATACCATGGTGTAGCATTGAAACATGAATACTGACAGTTTTCCAATTCCAGGCAGTAGAATTAGGTGGTGGAAATCACCACTTTTCATAAAGCTTCCTTTTATTCACCAGCTAGAACAATTTTCAAGAACAATTAATATTTTATGAAGTATCATTGAATATCCACCATCGTCATCAGCTTCCAGGTGACAGTCAAGAGAAGTTGTTCGACTTTTGGTAACTAATTCAATAAGGAAATAAAAAAAAAAAAAAACTAACAAATTTGATCACATGGGAAGTGCAGAATAAACACTTGAAATTATACTATCAATACTAAAGTTGCTATATAGAAAAAGATTTGAAAGTATGGCTTAAATAATGTGGTGTCATGATGGTATGAAAATGATTTATGGCCAAAAGTGATGATGAAAAATCTTTAGACTTTTGGATTGGAAGAGCATTTATACCCAAACTGATTTTTTTTAAATGTAAAAGGCATCTTCCAGATTTATTTTTATTAAGAGACAGAGCCAATTTATATATAAAATATATACATTATTCTTTATGAACTGTTTTCTGTTCATTTTCAAATTAGGATTTTTATTACTGATTGAACTGATCTTCATACTGAAGAATAAAAATATTGATTAGTTTTTAATTATGTATTCATTCCCCAAAATGTGTTGCTAAGTTTGTGTGTCTTACAGTTGATGGCAACTGAGCAGTGACATAAGAGAACACAGAGCCACACGTCAAAAGTGCCTGAACACAGATACAGATAGTATCTGCATGAAATATTTGACACAAAGTAATTTACACTATTTTATACATTTTCTCCCCATTGGCTGTTTCTCAGGCTTGTTTTGTTTTTAGGGTATATACCTTCTTGGAAGAAAACCATGCAATGGTTTAGAATGAGAAAGGGATTTTATAACAGTAAAGAAGGCATTATCCTGATTTATTAAAATTTAAAAATAAATTGTAAGTTGTATAATATGGATGATTGAATATGGACCTGGGAAGCAGTTTCCGTAAATAACTTTTAATGACATTGATATTATGACTATTGGTGAGATACTATATTCTGCAGACATTTTTCTCTCTCCAACATTGGAGATGACAGAATCTTCTTTACATCTTCCCCTCTGAGACTACTTGTAAGACCAAAGGTGGTTGGTGCTTATTTAATGCACTGAGCTCTTTTGTAGGGCACATTTAAATCACTATTTTGATTTAATTCTGAATCAACTTTATTCTTGAACTGGGAAATTAATTTCGACATGAACTTGCAAATACTCCAGTGCTTCACTCCCAATTCGTGTTTTAGCATCCTTCACTGGAGCAGGAAGCAGAGACAAGCTGTTGCCATGAGTTTGTTTCAAGAGCCCAGAAATCCTCCAGGGACTCCTTTATTACTGCTTTTCAAAGAGGCCTTTTTTCCTCTCTTCTCCTTTTCCTGAAAAGAGGGTTATATCCAGTACTCAAGGACATGGTAAGGCCAACAAGGACTGAATCTCTAGGACTATGATCTCTTGAATTGTGAAATGTGACATTCTTGTTGCTAGCCTGCCTTTCTTCCCACTCCGCCAAATTATAATACTTCTTTTCATTCTGCAGTTTTGTATAATTTTACTGTACAATAAAAATCATCTTTTCATTTTTAAAGAATTATACTCCCAGATCAATGGGCATTTGTTTTGTTTTAAGTCGTCTGAGTAAAGATTCATCAAATTATCATTAAAGTAACATTTTTGGACTATCTATTCCAAGATCTTAATTGACATAAAAATTTCCTAATTAATGGGCACCAAAAAATGTCTTAATCTATCAATAAAGTTACCTTTTACTTCAAATATATCATGCTTAAATTTTTTTTCCTCTGTAAGGTAGGAGCAAAAGATAAAATATCTTTTAAACAGTTTAAAAAAGCCTGTATTGACACTACTACTAATTATAGATATGGATGTAGGTCCAAAATTAGTACATGGATTTGATATATTTTCAGTAAAGTTAGGAATAAAAATAACATCACATATTTCATTTTATTTGAGGTAGCTAAGAATAGCCATTTTACTTTAGAAACTTCAACAAAAGGAAGCTTTTCAACTTCACATTCTTAGGGAAATATAACTGTCCTGTTTCATAGAGGACATGGAGTAAGAGAAAATAAGCTAGGTTTTTAAGGAGGCCAAAGGAGGCAGACTTTGTCAATTATATTTATGTTCAATCCAATAGATCATAAGGTTTGCCTCTGAAAAGAATATTAATCTCATTCTACATGCATTATCAACCTCAGGCATGAGTACATGCTGTGGGAACAGAAATATGTCTGAAGGGATATATGAAATCACAGAGTAAATGGAATCCACATTCTTGAAGTAGCTACAATTCTACTTGAGGGTAAGTAATTAAATATTTTAAAATGCAAAAAAGGTATATATTATGAAGTAGAGGCTAAAACTTTATTTTTAGGACAAAACATTCAAATTCAAAGACATTTTCAGCATGCAGGGAAGCAAGTCTGACCCAGGAATGATGTATTTTATTGTCCTCTGAAGCAAAGGCTCTTTCAGTGGCAAAGCTTAAGAATGCTGACCTGCATGATGGGGAAGTTTAGTGTTTGCACAAGAAATTAACTAATATGTTTTTCTATAGTTTGAAAAGGAAAATAATGGTTGGCTTCAGGTATTTGGAAATGCTGCACATTCAGGCTAACAGTAAGATTAGTGTTTTCTCATTTTCAACTAATTATTTCAAGATACAAAAACAAAACAAGTAAATATCATTGGTGAGTACTCATAAAAAATGAGCTGTATGTAGTAAAGTGGCCAGGAAAGGCAGAGTTCACAGCCCTAGGTAGGGCAGGCCCTGGCAACCATTCCGGGGAGCAAAACAGTTAAACCAGGTGGATGGAACATATCCTATAGCATATTGTAATTGGCAAGTGGATGCAGGTGGTTTCTTAGCAAGTCAGAGGCATTGGGCTGTCTAAAAGAGGTAAGAAGATTATATTGACAGAGAGGTGGAGGGAACAAGTGCCTGGGAGGAAGCATTTGAAAAACAGCAAGGAGGTCTGATTTATGGTAGAAAAACGGAGTCCCCAGGAACTGGGGAAGTGACTGGCAAGAAGAGGACAGGGTTTCTAGTCTAGAGGAATCAAGGCATAGGACATATTGCTTACCTAGAGATTCAGTCAGGAGTGTGGGATCAAGCCTAGGTATGGTTTTTGGAAGACTGCTTACTTGATTAGTTTGAAGTGAGGCTAATAGCAAGTGTGAATTTGACGTTGACCCTTCAGTATTGACCTGAGTAGCTCGCAACAGTTGCCCTATTTAAGAAGGAGACTGATTCCGGAACCCAGAATAAGGCAGAGAATGCAGATGGTGGTCACATGGTTTCAGGTAAGGAGTAAGAAAAGTCACTGGCCCTTCTCTAAATGCTATGCAGGTGCAAAAGTGATTTTATTTTCTGTTTCTCTCTTGAATGAATATGCTACCTATTTGGTGGTATAACACATAAACTCATTCATATCAAATGTCAATACATACTTTAATGTTTTAATCAATGAATGTACTAAATAATTTAAATTTACAAGGGATTTTGGAAAGAGATTTAATTTTAATCATGGCAGGAAATTAATATTTGGACAAAGAATGTTAGCACATTCTTATGTCATACTCAGATTTAAGGTAAGACTACTTTATTTTTCAAATCAATCTAGAGATATAAAAGCAAATCTAGTTAGAATGAGAATACAAAATTAAAAATAAGTTTGTTAGAATGGAATTCAGATATTCCATGTAGAACTGTGGGATGAAATGCAATCAGCAGTGACTGGTTGGAATAAGGACCTGCCTTGTCCCAGGGAGAGTTAGAGAATCTGTTCCAACAAGGACAGAAGGTCCAGTTGGGAAGAGCCCTGGAAAACAAAACTCTCTGACAGCACTCTTTAAAGCTCTGCTGGCAGGAAGCATGTACTTGTGTATGCTAGATTTGAGCTTAGTGTGGGAATCAGGATCTGAACACAAGTCACCCCCTTCCCTGTCCCATTCAGTTGCTGCTCTGGGGATGTAGCATGCTGCCTGCTGCACATGGTCTGTGTTTTGCTCATGCCTGGCAATAGCTGCTTGGAACCTTGCCTCTGGAAGCTCATGATTTCAAGTATCCAGACCTGTCATGACGCTGTCCAGGAGAGGGGTCAGGCTGTCATCATCCATTAGGCAGCCCCCAGCTGACACATACAAGGGCAGTTACTGAGTGCCCTTTTCTCTCAAGCTTTTGATTTGCATCTCTTGGTAGGAGTTGGGATAAGACACACGTTCAGAATTCAAATTGAGGCATTCAGTTGCTCTCCTATGCAAGTGGTTTTATTTGTTTATTCATTATTTTGTAGTTTGGGCAGAATTTGCAAAGTTTTTACAATTTCATGACCTTGTATGGAACCATCACTTTCTTCACAAGGACTTTTCTTTGGGTCATAAAAACTGAGTGGCTGGGCACTGTTTCCTTATACTCATTGACAAGGAACTGAGTGGATCCAGGGTTTAAGTAAACTGAATGAGGCTAATCTTTCTTCTTTGGGACCCAGTTTGAGTCTTCCCCATTCTTCAGCAGAAGAACAGCAGGCCTGCCTCTGAGGCGCCTCTCTTGCCATAAATAGGGTAACATGACCATACCTTAAGAAACTAGGACAAATCCTGACCTTTGCATAATGGAGTTATGGAGTTTTACCTAAATCATTTATGGCTGTTACTCTGCTATTGACTTTTTGTCACTGTTGTAATAACTAGGCTTCAATCTTGTTGAAAATTTTGACAAAATAATTTTTGTCTTCTGCTCTTCTGGGTGCTCCTATCTTTGTTTTTTGTCCATATACTCACTCTCCCAGAACTGGGGCCCAGTATGCTGTGTAGTATTTATTTATAGATATCTCTTACCCACTTTGCATTCTTCAATAACCACATCCCATGCCTTGCCCACTTGCAGGGATGAAACACATGACCCAGTTCTGTCATTCATGTTTCACAAGCCCTTGTCATTGGTTTAAAGCCAGGCATGTGATACAGGCAGGTACTATCGGAGTCAGAAGGAGAACACTTTTGTAGGATCTACCAGGAAACCCAGGCTTTAGTTTATGCAGGCTAAGATAGGAGAAGGTACATGGTCTAGAGCTTCAGCAACCATTTCTGTGACATTGAAGGTGACTGTTAAAAAAATGAAGCCAATATACAGAGGAGAGAAGAGCCAAGAGAGGCGGACAGATGGAGAACATTTGGTAACATCGTTTGGGTCCTTTCAAGCAGCCATATCTTAAGCCAACTCTGAGCCAGTTTATTTCCTACTTTGCCTAAACATATTTGCATTGAATTTTATGTATCTTCAATTTTGAAAAAAGCTTAATTAATGCTCCCTGCCAGTGATTAGAGTCTTGGCTGAGAGTTTCAAAAAAAAAAAAAAGCGGCTGGGCTTGGCTACTTGCTGACAGCCTGCTTGATACCACATGTGGCCTGGATCTCTGTCCATCCCCACCCAATTTCATATTTTCTGTGTTGCGTTTATCCCTATTGGGACATCCTAATATTTCACATTCAACCCTGATGCTCTTTCACAGTCTGAATAAAATTACAAGACATAGTAACTATGTTGCTTCCCATGAGTATTTTAAAAAGCCTTAATGACTCAACCAATAAAATGTCTCTTTAATAACTCAAAGTGGGGAAGTTTCAAGGAATTTCACATAACTAACCATGGGATACATAAATGTATTAAGGTCAGTGGCTCGTTAGTTTTCTCCTTTTCTATTGTGGATGTTGTTATATCATTTTTACTTTCTTTGATAGTGGCCTTTATGACATTCTACTTGACTGGCAGGCAACAGAGTAACTGCTTTCAAATACAAGAGATGGTGAAAGGGATTTCTGTTATAGATTTTACTATAATGCGATCAGAATGGCAGGGAGGGCAGAGAAGTTAGAGGCAAGGCAGCTACATTGTTCTCACTGCCTACATTGTTTTCTGAGAAACTAAAGATGACCTGAGAAGTAGGATTTAAAGAAAGCGTATTAAGCTCAGTAAACTCTTAAGAGTCCAGTGATAAGATGAACAAAGACAGGCCTAAGGATATTCTCCTGTAGACCATGGACTTTGTGAGAATGGGGGTTGGTTCTGGGTAATAAATATCTTAGTTTTACTGATTTGATCTTTACATATTACATGAATGTATTAAATAATCACATGTACCCTGAATGTATTAAATTATCACAAGTAGATTATGTACCATAATCTACATCTATTATGTATTAATTAAAACATTAAAGTAAAAAAAGAGCATCTGGGAAGTGTAGTTTTTTTAGCTGCTTGAATTGACACCCAAAATAAATTCTGAGTTTTGTAACTAAGGAGGCAGAAGTGAATAGTTCATGGATAGTCATTTTTAGTCTCTGTTACAACCATCTTTAAAGCTCATGATTGCTCTTTAAGAGATCCACTAAGTTGTTAGAAGCTTTATAGACTTATAAGGAATATAAATGTTCTTTTTTTCAATGTAAGAATTGGTTATGGAGAGGCTTAGGAAGTATATTCTAAGAGATTCTTTCTTCTTCTAAGATATTCTTGATTTTTTTCTAAGATATTCTTTATTCTTTCTGGGTATAACAACCTAGGATAAAAGAATGAAAATTGTAATTTCTGAGAAAGGGTTTGTATCATTTGCATATGTTCTATATTTAATATTATACTATGTAATATTCTTCTGGGTGTATCGTGGGTGAATGGATATTGGGAAAGCAACTAACATCTTCACTGCAGAAATATTTTATATTTCTTTTTATTTAAATGTAAAACTCTCTAATGGTTCAATGGTTGTATTATCTATTATAATATTATAATATATGTTATATAAGTATAATATGTATTATATATTATATAATATGTATTACATTATATATTATAAATATATAAACTTATAAATTATATTTATAAATATGTATTTTATATGATACATTATATACATTATATATATGTATATATTTTATATATAATTATATTTATAAATATAAATATGATATAAATATATAAAACATATATAAATATTGTATGTTATAAGTATATAAGTTTATATATTATACCATTTGCAATTATGGAGAGAAGTAAAATTAAGATTTTAAAGGTTTGAGGGTTTAGCTATTATGACAGTTTTCAAACAGAATTTAGAAAGGTTTGAGTAGCTCAGTGAAAGAAATGAATTTATTTAATACTGAAAAATTTGAGATAGACTTTAAATATATGCTTATGGTCCTGAACTGGGGTGGGGAGGAAGCCTGAAATATAGTAAATTATAAACTACATTCAGTAGTAAAACCAGTGCATTTGTGTGCTAGAGTTGGCCATCTGATTAAGAAGTAAGTCCTGTAAAATAAGTGACTAAAAAGGAACACTTACAGTGTAATAGGGTATGTTGGGGATTGTAAGAAACGAGAATATAGGCCTTTCCTAAAGGGATAACTGCTGCTTGGCTGCAGTAAATTATTGCCATCAAATAAATTAGGCTTAGATATTCTACTTTTACATGACAGAAATCTAGAGTTTTACGTAATCTTCCAGATTTTTAAATCATTGTGAAAGCAGAGCAAACATGTCTACATGTTGGATTTGTCCAGTGGACAATCAGTTTGCAACTCTTGATCTAGTTCAACATCTTTATTTTACCTAAACAGGGAGAAATCTGTGACATGCTCCCGACCACATAGCTCATCAGTGACAGAGCTGGGGCAAGAACACTACCCCTTTACTTTCAGTTATCTTCCTACTGCATCACATCTGAATTGTTTTTCAAAAGAGCCTATGAAGTCATGTGGAACTGTTCGGTGGAAAGGAATAATCAAGGAAACTAGGCATATAATGTTTGCTGTTAAGTTCAAAAATGCCTTGCATAGAGTTTATCATTCAGAAGGTATCAATCAGTGTTAGATGAATCTCTATCTGAATTGTTAAAATTATATAAGGCAATGAATAAAATAGAAGGAAAGGTGAAGAAGAAAAAGAGTCATTATCAAGCCTTGGGGAGCTCCATAATTAACAGTGGATCAAGGTAATGAATTAGCAAAGACAGCATCCAAGGAGCAGTCGGAAGCAGCCAGGACTGCTCTGTGAATCTCTCCTTTACCTTTGCCCTAATTACAGCTCTAGGCTGTAAATGTTTTAATTTGAGGATAATTTCCAGCCCTTTAATAAACTTTTTTCTTATTATGCTGCTGCCTTAAACTATAGCCTTGTATGAAAGCGTGGTCTTCAGAGAAATTTTTCTTCTTCCTTTAGTAAAAATTAGATAGGTTAATTTTTGACTTAAATTTCTAAAACTGTTCAGTTATATCTTGAGATTTTCCCACTGTTAGTGGTTAAATGTCTCCATTATAAGTAATTATTGTCATTAAAAATAGTTTAATAAGAAATGTCCTTTGAAAATCCCCTTTTTGGTATGCAAGTGACCCTTTATGTCACAAAAATTCATTGCATTATCCCAATACCATAGATCACAGGGTAATTTTGAAGTGACAAATTCTGCTTTTCCTGTTTTAGAGAGATTGGGTTTTTATTACCAACTTTGTTGTAGGTTTTAGTGTGCATAGTGAAATGCATTTGTAAGACACTGTTTAAAGTTCTGACGAGAGAAGTCCCTGGAAACTTAAATTTTTCATTTAATGCTCATGTTAGAATTTTGACTAGTTAACACAATGGAAGGACCTTGGGGAGCTGGTGGATTCCTTAGGTAATTTATCTCAGAACTAACTGCTTTTGCAGTGGATTTTGCTTACAGTAGTAATGACCTATATTTATAATTTGTTCTCCTAGTAATTATCCCAGCAGAACTGAAATACCTACAAAGTCAATGATGCTAGGTTAACGTCACCAACAGGTAATTCTTAAGTATTTGATTGGATTTATCTTTATAAAATAGTCCAACTGAATGCTGAAGAGAGCTAGAATATGGTCATTTGAAACAGAGAAAAAAGTCCGTTTTCTTTTCCATCTGTTTAACCATGCTCTTATGCCTTTTTTCTTTTCTTTTTAGTTCCAAGGCACGTTGATCGTACCTACACATCTCACCAAGGACATGGATGCTTCTCTGCTATCAGCTGAAGCTGCTGTGACCCCAAAACTGAAAAATCCCATTCTGAATCCTTGCCAATAAAGAATGTCCATCAGAGCAGGCCCAGTATCCTATCTCCTCATCCAGATAGTGTTTCTCAGTAAGTACACAGAGCCTGATTTTAATGTCTTCATTCAGCCCTGGTTTCCACCATTTTCAGTGGGAGAAAAATTCTTATGAAAGGCTAATACATGATATGCAAATGGCTAACATTCTTGCAATTTGCATTGGTTGTCTTTTGGAATCTTTGAGATTATTTTGGGTAGACTGAACATAGCTCTGTACTGCAAGTCAGGGACAGAGGGGTGAAATATATGACCCCACTATCTACATGAGGGTTTCTAGCATTGCAGGGGAAAATATTCTGAAGATCAAAGATATCCTTGATCGTAGATATTTGAAAACAAGTCCAAAGCTCTCAGAGTGAATTCCCCCCTGCCCCCACCAAACAAAAACAAAAACAAAATTATTTTCTATCTCCTCTGGATCCTAAGAAATGAGATATATCTTTGGGGTGCTGCAGGAAATATTCCAGGTTCTTAACATTTTTGGGGTCACATTCCCATTTGATAGTCTGATAAAAATTATGAACATTTGCATCAGAAGAAATATTCATAAAGATACATACACAGAATTTTGCAAACACATGGGTTTTCTTAGAAAACATGAGTATTCCCTAAATATTATCTAGATTATTTAGGGGTCCCAGACTCGGATTAAGAATCCCTGGGACTTTCAAGATAATCATGGAAACTTGCCTTGAACTTCTACATAATTCATATTCCTCAACTATACCTACCTAATCATATATATAGATATTAACAGTATTAATGGTAATAACCTATGCTGTGTGGCTTTTGTGTCAATCTGCCAATTCAGGAGTCCTGTCTCCAGTGAAGTACTTTCTCTTTTTTTTTTTTTTTTTTTTTTTAAGACGGGGTTTCACCATGTTGGTCAGGCTGGTCTTGAACTCCTGACCTCAGGTGATCCACCTGCCTTGGCCTCCAAAGTGCTTGGATTACAGGCGTGAGCCACCAAGCCCAGCCGAAGTACTTTCTCTTACCCAATTAGTTGTATCTAAAGACCTCAAGACTTTTCAGTTGTGTTTATGAACAAGCTCAGACAGTGGTCACATAGTGACCTCTGGGTACTGATGCCCCCTCTGCTTGATATCTCTAATTCCCCTGTGTACTGCCAACTTTGTCAGGAACCCAGCCTGCACATCTGTACCACTTCTGCTGGGGACTGTGGTGTTCTCCTTTTGCTGATGTATTGGAGTTTTGGGGCCAAGGCCATTTTCCCATAATTTCAATAATTTCAGGAACACTTTTGGAGAGAAAGCTTTTCTCCTCTCTGTGGAGCTGTCATCACAAGTAAATAATTAAAATTATTTATCTTAATATAAAATAAACCATCTAATAAAAAATTAGACAATTTCTGATGAGTTCTGATTTGATTGCTTTTAGCAAGACAGGACTTTTATTTCCAATTTCTCCACCCTTTCCGTAGACATTTGCTGCTGGACTAAAGGACAAACCCAGGTGACCTCAGATTGCGCTCAGAATCCTCAATCTTCTCCCATGATTGAAGTTTGTCTCTGGCCCAATGGTGTTTGCCTGACTCACACTTTCTTTGGGAGCTCCTCATGCAAATACTGTTCCAGAGATCTGCACATCAATTTATTGAGACACTCAGAATTGCTGCCCATCAAGGAATGGACTTAGCATAGTTTAGGAAACTCAGAAACATCAATACTTAAGCATAGTTAGGCAATGGTACAACCTGTGGGACTTAGGCAGACTATTTTTAGGAGGCCTTTGCAGAGCTCTTCCAGATCTCTGCGGTGTCCCTTCAAAGATAAGCTCTTTGTAATTCTACTCTGTCTTACATCCAAGCTAGCATAGTACTGAAAAATTGTATTAACAAAACTCTAGGCTCTTACTGGAAACAAGCACCTCCCTTATTGTAAATAACTCCATACAGACCTGTAATAAGTTAGAATCAGAATGATCTTTCTGCCATGATTCCATTTTTTATACAACCAGTGTGCCTCAAGCTCTACAGGAGTCAATAAAATATGACTCTGAAATAATACCGAATTTCAAAGCTTAGTATGCAGTGTATGGAAAAAATGCCTCACCATTTTTCTTGCTGTCATTTGAAGGCACAGTAGCAGATGCATCACAAAATTGGAGGTAGATTCTTAAAATGCCAATAACTCCATCAGTTATAGATTTGTCATAATTAATGCTGACGGCTCCTTCTGCACCATTGTATTCCTCACTTGCACGATTATTCCTTTCTTTGATGTGCTGGACTGTGTTCAGCCCCCTTGGTGTGGCTCTCTCCTCATGGTCCTACATGCCCTTGCCTTCAGCTTCTCCCAAGTTCACTGGCCAGTCCTCACACCAAGCAAGGAATTTCCAAACCAGCCCCTTTGTCTCATAGGGGCTGGTTTCTTTGGCTTTCTCTTTGCTTCTTCTCTCCCTCTGTGTCAGTTGCATTTTCTCTCATAAACAGACATGATAATGTTGATGATATATAATATTTTGAGAGAATGTTAGAATATGAATTTATGGGATCATGTTGGATGTGAAATTAAAATGAAAATGATGTCTTTCCTGCAGTTTATATAATTTTCTCATGAGGCTTGTCCCCTTGGGTGCATGTGTAGGGTGGTGTCAATATTGATGGAAGAGAGGAATTCTGAAGTGCCAAAAAAAATTATTTGTCTCCTGAATGATCTCTTTTGTATGTCATTCTCTTTCAGGTAAAAGCTCCATTTTCAGATTTTTTCCTCCCTCTGTCAGCTCCTTTCTAAGATGGCATGTTGCTCTATGTAGGAAGAGGGTCTTATGTTATTCTGTATTATTGGGACAGGGGACTGCATTGTCTGCCAGGTATCATCTGGATCCTCCCTGTTGTGACTGGCCTGTTGTACACCGAGGTGCCTCTCATGCCACTTGGAGTTCTAGAAATGTGTGTTGTCACTGGTTGCTGAAATCTGTGACTGTGGTTGTTTTCTTTTAAGAAATCCTCACCTACTTCAGCATGCCCTGACCCCATGTCTCCACCAATCCAGCAGGTCTGTGAGTGCCTGGGCATGCTGTCTGCCAGACAGGCAGAACTCCATGATCCCTTAAAGCCATGTGAAGGTGGAGGAAAGTCAGGAGCAGAATCTCAGGCTCATCTATTTTGTCACCTCTCTCTGTCAGGGGACCTTACTCCTGTGCAGTGCTGGATGTGGCACGAGTCACATGCCAGGCTGCTTCTAGAAGCCTGCAGTTTTCTCGGGCAACCCCAAAGGAGGCCAACCGCTGCCTGAGTGTCCTTGTGATCCCCCAACCTTTTCACTTTCAGTTAGGAAGTGGGTCGCATGTCTCTGGCTGTGTCTTCCTGCTTGACTTCTCCTTCCCTGTTTTCTTCCTGCCATAGAAGGTTTCTTTTATTTTCTCTCCCAGTCTGGAAGGAATTTTCTCTGGGGTGATAATGGCATAGAGGCTTCCAGGCATCATGATTCAAGGTGGTAGAGAATAGGGAGAGAGAAAGAAAAACCCTATGATTTAAAAATTTTCAAAATGGCACCCCAAAATAAAATTATATACCTGAAACTAGTGTTCCCCAAACCACTTATCATCCTTGAAGAAAAATGGGGATCATACGAATAGTAATAAGTACTCTTGTTCTGGTTCTCATCTTCATCTTTGATTTGGGGCCTCTAATCCCACTCAAAGTTTTCTGCATTTATTTCTATGATTCTTTCTAACATACTCCTCTAAGCAATGTCAGCATGTGGCCAAACCACCTCCATATCTTTTGCTAACTGAAAAGCCCTGTACATCTTTTCATGCATATGCAGGTGATTTGGGTGATGATGCTCATGTCAAGGACACAGCCTCCAGTTACTTGAGAACAGATTGCCCAGCTGGATGTGGCGGCTCACGCCTGTAATTTCAGCATGGGAGGCCGAGGCAGGCACATGGCCTGAGGTCAGGAGTTTGAGACCAGCCTGGCCAACATGGCGAAACCCTGTCTCTACTAAAAATGCAAAAATAAGCTGGGCGTGTTAGCGGCTACCTGTAATCCCAGCTACTTGGGAGGCTGAGGCAGGAGAATCGCTTGAACCAAGGAGAGAGAGGTTACAGTGAGCTGAGATTGTGCCATTGTGTCACTCAGCCTGAGTGACACAGCAAGACTCTGTCTTAAACAAACAAACAAAAAAACAAAAAGGAAAAAAACAAGAAAAGAAAGAAAAAAAGAGCAGACTGCCCTCTGCTGCTCTGGAAACGCTTGGTGTTGGGTCCGTGGGGAACCTACCTGCTGCACTCATGCTGCTGTGGCTAATGGGAGGGCCATGCCTTCTCTGGTGGCTGCTTCTTGGCTGTCATGTCTGCACTTATGTTGTGTGTGGCCCTGCCCACACTGGGCTATCAGGAAGTAGCAAGAAGGTCTTTCTCTCTAGTGTACTAGTCATCCTTCTCATAAAGTCTCTTGGGAATTTTTGAGTGTAAAAATCTTATTTTGTATTAATTTGCCACTCTTACAGTTTCATTTTGGGCTACAGTAGAGGGAAACATAATTTTGTTACACTAAAAATTTAAGCTTGTTGTTCTTCTTTCAGTGACTGGAGTGTTGCTATTGGGTTAAGCCTATGACCCGTACTTTCTCTTCCAGGATACTTTTTGTGTGTGTTTGGTCTTGGGAGTGCCCTTTATTTCTTATGTAAATGTGTAATTTACAGGCCCTTCCAGCCAACTTTTCAGACACTATCACAGCGGTGGTAAAATTCATGCTTAATATGAAGCTCCTACTTCTACATATAATTTAAATAATTTAAAGATTTATAGTTTTTTATTTAATTCTGTAAATGAACCAAGTAATGTCTTGTAAATCTTCTGGTCTCTTGTTTCTTGGGTTGCCAAATAGTTTCTACAAATTATAGAAACCCTTGAAATGTTTGAACCCTTTTTCTGTTTCCCCATTCAATAATAATAGAAGTGGGTGGATATAAATATCTTTCGTGAAAGAGCTTCTTTTAGGTAAATGCTTGTCTTTCAGATATTTTACACCAATTTGTGTAAGTTTTGTATGATTTTCAGA